CAATAACTCTAGTTTCATACAAATTTGATATCTCACTTAAAATTTAAACACCTAAGTCAATTTTGACAATTTTCTTTCAAAATTTACTACTTGAGCATAACTATTTGAAACCACAAGTTATTGGCCACTTCTAGAGCCTTGACCACATCTAAATGAATAATTTAAACCTGATTAACCTATTATATAAGCAATATAACATGCATACACACTTTTGGCCTGTTAGCCACCTATCACACACTTTTGGGCATATTCATATTTCTCAATTTCATTCATATCCATAGCCAAACTCCATACATACATCACATATTCATTATATCCACAAGTACTTACACCCATTTACTAGCCCACATCATCATTTCTATCATATACACACATGTATGCACACTATGGACTAGATTACCAAAACAATGATCACATATACAACCAAAATGTTCATGCACAAATATATCTATTTCTATCATAACTTATATACATATTCACAACTATTAACATACAAATTAATTACATCATCTTACAATGGTTTTTTCAAAGAAATCTTTACTCAACTCGTTTCCTTTCCCTTAGCACTACCGCCAGAACTTAAAAAATGTAAATAACCATATGTGAGATCAAAATCTTAGTAACAAATATAGCTCATTTAATGTCCATTAACACAAATAACCATGTCAAAGTAGCAAAGCCAAAGTAATAGCACATACACACATGCATGCGCGCGCATCAAAAGTAAATATAGAATTTCCTCTTTTCAAAGCTTTTCTACATAATTACAAATAACAGCATGATTATCTATCCACTAAGCCTCCGAAGCTCCCCTACATGAAACTATAGGCTCTAATAGATTAATTATGCATTGATCTGAGCAAACCTTTGGCAGTAGAGAGACCTAGCCAAAGATAATTTATCCTACCTATGAACTATGGTTACCCTCATTTCACATACACTTGCGATAGAGATGTCGACGACTCCTAACCGTACCCTAACTAGCATTAGGGAGTTGCTAGACTGCCCATATGTCCTGTGGTAATAGTCTTAATATAATACCATACTGGATTACCCATGGTACTAGCTCTAATATAATGCTGCACTAGATGTCCCATGGTGTCAGCCTGACTACATGAATTTATTTACACTCATCTCCATACACATACATCCACACATAACCTGGGTGAATCCCACCTCCTATGATCAAGCTTTTCACACAAAATTTACCACTTTTCCACACTTAATACCACATATATACATATATATCAATCAAATCCAGTATTCATCAAACTTGCATTTTATAAATCAATTTCATGCTAAAACTATTTACATTGCAAAATCATGCATAAAAACTGACAAAACAACTATTTCACAATCATAAAATTACTTCTATAAAATTATAATAGCTAATAAACATAACAAACTATATAGTTACCTTAACCCTTTTGTTTGCAAGAAAGGGTCTCTTGTGTTTCAAAACCTTAGTCAAACTCCTTCTCGTGATTTCAACACGTCACGCATAAGAATCTACACAAATAAGGCATCCACAGTCAATTATCTTTTTGACTAAAAGTGCCAATTACAATAATTAAGGGCGTAATCACTACCATTTCCCTTACCCACATTCATTCATGCATATCATGACCAATTATCACTCATTACAAGCATTATTCTACTCACTATTAGATTTCTCCCATTACTCTCTCTCTCTCTAAATTAGGTTAACTTGAGTTTATAACATCAAAGCTTTATTGTTCTGACTCCAACCAGTCACAAAGTCTTAATTTAGTTACAGAGAACCTTTCTATTACTATAAGGTAAGAAATCAACTCCTTAAAACTCCTAAATTTAATTTCTCAATAGTTTAAACTAAGAAAAAATAGGGTAGAATTAGAGGTTAAGTCAATATAAGACTTACTTGATAACTAACATGTCAAAAATGTCATCCTTGCTCCTGAAATTGATTGCCCTAGTAGAGCTCTTCTTTTCCATGCCTGAACCTCTTTTTCTCTCTTTTCTCTTTTGTTTTCATGAGTTAACACTTTCTTATTCGCCAAGTTTCTGTACCATACATTGAAGCACATCCAGTGTAATATCCCAATATAAATTTTAATAGTTAATTTGGGTTAATAGAAAATTAAAAAAAATAAAAATAAAAAAATAAATAATTTAAAAAAAATAAAAAAATAAAAAAAATAATAATAAAATAATATTATTAAATTATTATTATAATAATAAAAAAAAGAAAGGAAGAAGAAGAAGAAAACGAATTTGCTTCGTCCGCCGCCTCAACAGTAACAATAATAAAATAATAATAAAAAAAAGAAGAAGAAGAGAGAGAAAATAATTTTAAAAAAATGTGGGACCCACTGAATTTTTATAAAAACTCACCTGTTCCTTCATTTCTTCATTCCTTCTTTCGTGCGTGAGCTTCGGCAGAGAGAGCATCTGTGAGCCAAATGCACCGGTGCAGGGTTTTAAGGTAAGAGTTTTTAATAGGATATTTAGGATGTGATTTTAAGCTTTTCAAGACTAAGTAAGTGTTCTAAAATTTTTTCTTAGTCATCCTTTTTCTTTTGTTTCTGAGTTTGTAGTGGTAGAAAATTTAAGATCTGGAAGAGGGATGAATTTATGTTGAATAAATATGATTTTTTTGAGGTTGTTAGTAGTATAATAAATATTCTAGAGTATAAATTTATTGGTGATCTTTGAATTTGTGGCTTATGGATCAAATTCTAGACTAGATCTGAAAATATATGTTGATTTATTGAGGTTTAGATGATTATTTGGGATGAGAAATGAATTATTATGGCTATAGGATTATGATTCTAAGCTAGAGACTTAATTTTTAATTTTTGGGTATTTTAGGTACGAATTTATAAATAAAAAGAAAATTTTGATAATAGAAATTAGTTTAGAAGTTGATTTTTAGATTATTAATGTTTATTGATAATTAAAAGAGGAGTTAAAAATTTTACTTAATAGTATTAACTATAGATTTGTATTAAGATTGAGATTAGGAATTATGTTATATTTTTAATTCTATTATTAGAATTATTTTATTAGTTTCAAAAATTGAAACTAATATTTATAAATAATATGTTATTTGTAGATTGTATTACTGGTGAAGATTGTGGTGAGAGAGAAATTTTAAGGAATAATTTATTGAAAAAGCCACAAGGTAACCATGCTTTTAATTTGTGATTAGTGTTACTTCATGTTAATTGGGTGATTATTGAGAAAATTATGAATTTTGTAATATTGTATATTGTGCAATATTATTATGAATTTGTTTGATTATTGTGGGAGGTGTTGGGAGACTTGCTATTGTTGTTGTATTTATGTGCCACGTGGTACGCCCCTATTGGAGCTCAATAGGTGGCTTGTAAGGGCTCGGGCTAATCTACCTTTGGCCGGGTAATTTAGCACCGAGTGAGGGCTACGGCTCGAGGTTAATGGAGGGATATAAGGATGGTTGTTTGTGTGTATTGTAATATTTCTTATATTTGTTGGAATTATATTATTTTTAATTCTCACTTAGTAAGCACACACTTAACTGTTTGTATACACTATCATAAATTGGCTTTGGTTACTGGGACTTTTGAGTCTCATTATGTGGTTAACAATTTTCAGGAGAAGAGCCACGAGTGACACGTGGAGGAGTCCCAGAGGCTTAGTGGTATAGATCCACTGTCTCTTTTGGGTATTTAATTTATGATTTATAATGTGTTATATTGCCAATATTAGGACTTTTTTTTTATTGTCAATTATATGAATATATAAATGTAATCATGCCTTTCAAACTATTTCTATTTTTGGTACAATTTGGATGACTGTAATTTTAATATTTGGTTTACTTTGGATTGGTTAAAATGGCATGATTATAAGGCCAAATAACTGGCTTGTGTTGAAAATTGACTAAATTGCTTATTTTACTTGTTGGGAGTATAAGGATGGACAAATGTGATTTAGTTTACTTGTTGGGAGTATAAGGATGGACAAATGTGATTTAGCCTAATGGCATGTGGGAGGTAAAAATTTATCTGAAATGTTATAGTGTGTGAGTTGAAGCCAATTATAAAATATTTTATATCGAAATTATTGATATAAAAATGTGTTGGGTGGCTGTAACCCAACTATGGTTGAGTTAAATTATTAAAAAAAAAAATTTTGGTGTGTTACAATTTTGGTATCAGAGCTACATGTTTCCAATTCTTATAAATTATGAAATTGTTATACATTAACCTAGTTTATTGGCAATATACATTATTAAATCATAATGCTTCTCCATTATTTTTCTTGTCTTGAGATTAGTGTTAACTTAATTATGTGACTTCCATCCTTTAGGAGGGGAGAGATGGTGTCCAAAACTAGGAGAGGTGGTGAAATTGCCGGTGATTCTATAGAGCCAATAGGAAATGACATACCTTCACTGCCACAACCAGAGCCCACACAGCAACAAATCGGGCAGGGCGAGCCTATACAGTCACAACTAAGGCAGGATGAGCCAACTATGAGGCAAATGATGGATTTACTATATAATCTTAGTGACCGCATGAAGAGACAAGAAGAAGAATTGGCCGCTTTAAGACAATATAAGGAGAATTCCAACCGAGAGGGAAATGGCCAACAAGAAGGAAGCCATACCAAGGTATTTAATGCGAGCCAATCTGCTGATAAAGGCTCACCTTCCTATTCTCACCATGAGACTAGTCCGAAGAATGTGAGTCTCCACTCTGAGCAACAGACATCCACGATCACAAAGATCTGGAGTACTTTTCGTAAGTTTAATCCTCCTACTTTCGATGGAAATCTTAAGCCAGCGGTGGTTGAAGAATGGATAGATCAATTGGAGAGTATTTTTCGTATGGTTGTGTGCACTTCTAATCAAAAGGTGCAGCTGGCAATATTCCTACTACAGAAGAGTGCTAAGAAATGTGGGAAACATCAGGACCGAAGGATGATTCCTCTCTTACTTGGGAAGATTTTAAAGCTATATTGTTCGAGAATTATTTTCCTACTGCACTGAGAGCAGAAAAGGAGGCTGAGTTTCATGCATTTCGTCAGGGTGATCTAGATGAGGATGAATTTATTGAACAATTCTCAGAATTATCTAAATACTCTACTTACCTCCAGAAACATGAAGATACAGAGTGGATGGCTGAACGATTACTAGAGAAGGCGAGGCCTGATCTAAGGGAACAGTTAGCCCCTTTTGAGATCAAGACATTCAGTGAGATGTGCAATAAGCTTCGAATAGTTTCTCGGAGAAAGAGAGAGGCTAGATTAGAAGCTGATAGAGAGAGGAGGAAAGAACCTCATGGGAAGCCCCCTATCCACACCAGACCTATTGGTGGAGTAGAGAAGAGGAGCAGTCAAATCTTTGGAGGCTTTAGAAATCAGAAGAAGAAGGGCTACTACCATAAGGGCCAAACCTACAGAGGGAATCAGAGTGGGAGTCAGGGGTCCTACAGGAGCCCAGCTACCTTTAATCCTACTTCCGGTGCTGCTAGTAATCAAGCATGCAGTAAGTGTGGGAAGTTTCATTCTGGTGATTGTTGGGTTTGTTACATCTGCCAGAAGCCTGGTCATATTGCCCGATTCTGCTATCAAAATCAGAATAGGGGTAATGATCAGAGACCTACAGTACCAGCACGAGTGTATGCCCTCTCTGGGCCAGAGGCTGCTAACAACCCTAATGCTATCCGAGGTATAATCCGAATCCTTGATAATGATGTTTGTGCTTTGTTTGATTCGGGTGCTACACACTCTTTTGTGTCTGATGAATGTATGAAAAGATGTAAATTGCCTGTGTGTACCTTACCTTTTGATGTGAAGATTTCTACTCCTGCTGGTTTGACTGTAAGGACTGCTAAGGCATGTCTAAATGTAGAGGTTGAGTATGAGGGTCGAAAGACCACCATAGACCTCATTTGTTTGTCTTTGTCTGGGATTGATGTTATTGTGGGGATGGATTGGTTGTCTGCAAATGGAGCTGTACTTAATTGTCAGAAAAAGAGTGTGTCACTCTCAGCTCTTACTGTAACCCCTGTAGAGTCCCAAAGTCCTATGTTGTTGTCTGCAGCTCAAGTAGAACAGTGTATAAGAAAGGGCTGTCAAGCTTTTATGATTTTCTTCTCAATCAAGGCAGAGATTGAAGAAGGTGTAGATCAGATTCCAGTAGTGAGAGAATTCCCTGACGTCTTTCCTACTGAAGTGATCGGTTTGCCTCCAGAACGAGAGGTTGAGTTCTCGATTGAACTCGTACCTGGTACGGGGCCTATTTCTAAGGCACCCTATAGGATGTCTCCATCGGAGTTAGCTGAGTTGAAGAGACAAATTGAAGAGTTGTTAGAGAAGGGGTTTATCAGACCGAGTGTATCACCATGGGGGTCACCGGTACTGTTTGTGAAAAAGAAAGATGGAAGCCTTAGATTGTGTATTGATTATAGACAATTGAATAAGGTAACCATCAAGAACAAGTACCCCTTACCTCGAATTGATGATTTGTTAGACCAATTAGTCAATTCAGCGGTGTTTTCTAAGATTGATCTAAGATCAGGGTATCATCAATTGAGGGTTAGAGCAGAAGATATCCCTAAAACTGCTTTTAGGACTAGATATGGGCACTATGAGTTCCTAGTGATGCCGTTTGGGTTAACAAATGCCCCAGCTGTCTTCATGGATTATATGAATCGAATCTTCAGGCCTTATCTCGATGAATTTGTTGTAGTCTTTATTGATGACATACTTATTTATTCTCGAGATGAGGTGGACCATGCTAGACATCTTAAAATTGTTTTGGAGATATTAAGAGAGCACAAGCTCTATGCCAAGTTGAGCAAATGTGATTTTTGGCTTAAAGAAGTTAAATTCTTAGGCCATGTTGTTTCAGAAGAAGGGGTAGCGGTGGACCCTAGTAAGATAGATGCAGTGATGAAATGGGAACAACCTCGAAGTGTGACAGAGATTAGGAGTTTCTTGGGTCTTGCAGGCTACTATCGTCGTTTCATTAAGGGTTTTTCACAAATTGCAATGCCCTTGACTAAGTTGACCAGGAAAGATGCTCCATTTATTTGGACGAACGAGTGTGAAGTTGCATTCCAGGAGCTGAAAAAGAGGTTGACCACCACACCGGTGCTCACCTTACCTGTTCCAACTGCTCCTTATACCTTGTATACTGATGCTTCTAAGAAAGGTTTAGGTTGTGTATTGATGCAGGAGGATCGAGTAGTGGCTTATGCCTCTCGACAGTTGAGACCTCATGAGGAAAATTACCCTACTCATGACTTGGAGCTTGCTGCTGTGGTATTTGCTTGAAGATTTGGAGGCACTATCTTTATGGTTCTTCTTTTGAAGTCTTCAGTGATCATAAAAGTTTAAAATATTTGTTTGATCAAAAGGAGCTCAACATGAGACAGCGCAGATGGATTGAGTTTTTGAAGGATTATGACTTTGAGTTGAAGTATCATCCAGGGAAAGCTAACGTAGTCGCCGACGCTCTGAGCAGGAAGCTTGTACATACTGCTCACATGATGGTCAGAGAACATGAATTATGGAGTAGTTTCCATGCAGTAAATGTAGAAGTAGTCGAAAATCATTTGGCTGCTCTACATATTACTGAATTTGAGAATAATTTTTGGGAAGAAATCAGAATTTCGCAGCAGAAGGACGATTATTTGAATAAGATTAGGGTAGAGATTGGGGCTGGAAAGGCTGAACATTTTGATGTGACCGATGATGATGTCGTAAGATATAAAGGTAGAGTGTGTGTGCCTAATGATACTCGATTGAAAAATATCTTACTTGAGGAGGCTCATCAAAGTAAATATACCATTCACCCAGGAGCAACTAAGATGTATCATGACTTAAGACGTGGTTGGTGGTGGCCAAGGATGAAGAGAGATGTAACTGAACATGTAACTCGTTGTTTGACTTGCCAGAAAGTCAAAATTGAGCATCAGAAACCAGCCGGGATGCTACAGTCTCTTGATATTCCAGAGTGGAAATGGGACAGCATTTCTATGGACTTCATTACAGGATTGCCTAGAACATCTTCTGGTCATGACACTATATGGGTAATCGTAGATCGACTCACCAAATCAGCTCATTTTCTTGCTACTAATATCAAGTATTCTCTCGAAAAATTAACTGAAATCTACATAAGAGAAGTGGTGAGATTGCATGGAGTGCCGACAAATATTGTATCTGATCGTGATCCGAGATTCACATCAAACTTTTGGAAGTCATTACAGGAAGCCATGGGTACTCGTCTGAGTTTTAGCACCGCTTACCACCCCCAGACCGATGGGCAAACGGAACGAACCATACAAACTCTTGAAGACATGTTAAGAGCGTGTGCCATTGAGCTTAGAGGTAATTGGGATAGTCACTTACCATTAGCTGAATTTGCCTACAATAATAGTTTTCATTCTAGCATTCAGATGGCACCTTATGAGGCATTGTATGGAAGAAAATGTAGATCGCCACTGTGTTGGACAGAATTAAGTGAGAGAACTGTTTTGGGGCCGACATTGTTGATGAGACTACCCAAAAGATTGCTTTAATCAAGCAAAAATTACTCACAGCTCAAAGTAGACAAAAGAGTTATGCGGATAAGAGGAGAAGACCGCTTGAGTTTGAAGTAGGTGACCATGTATTTTTGAAAATCTCTCCGGTAACTGGTGTTGGAAGAGCTATTAAGGCTAAGAAGTTGACACCAAGGTTTATGGGGCCTTTTGAGATCTTAAAACGAGTTGGACCAGTAGCGTACCAAGTAGCATTACCACCCCAAATTGCTGGAATACACAACGTATTCCATGTGTCACAACTGAAAAAGTATCAACCAGATCCTTCCCATATAATTGAACCCGAGGAAATTGAACTCAGGGAGAATTTGACATTCAAAGCTGAACCAGAAAGGATTGTGGATTACAAGGACAAGCAATTAAGAAACAAGACCATTAGATTGGTTAAAGTAATTTGGAAGGGCACGACTCCAGGTGATGCTACGTGGGAGACCGAGGACAGTATGCGACGTGATTATCCTCGTCTTTTTGATTAAGTGAGTAGTTAATAGTTACTAATTTTAAATTTTGAGGACAAAATTTCTAAAAGGAGGGGAGAATTGTAACATCCCAATATAAATTTTAATAGTTAATTTGGGTTAATAGAAAATTAAAAAAAAATAAAAATAAAAAAATAAATAATTTAAAAAAAATAAAAAAAAAAAAAAAAATAATAATAAAATAATATTATTAAATTATTATTATAATAATAAAAAAAAAGAAGGAAGAAGAAGAAGAAAACGAATTTGCTTCGTCCGCCGCCTCAACAGTAACAATAATAAAATAATAATAAAAAAAAAAGAAGAAGAGAGAGAAAATAATTAAAAAAAAATGTGGGACCCACTGAATTTTTATAAAAACTCACCTGTTCCTTCATTTCTTCATTCCTTCTTTCGTGCGTGAGCTTCGGCAGAGAGAGCATCTGTGAGCCAAATTCACCGGTGCGGGTTTTAAGGTAAGAGTTTTTAATAGGATATTTAGGGTGTGATTTTAAGCTTTTCAAGACTAAGTGTTCTAAAATTTTTTCTTAGTCATCCTTTTCTTTAGTTTCTGAGTTTGTAGTGGTAGAAAATTTAAGATCTGGAAGAGGGATGAATTTATGTTGAATAAATATGGTTTTTTGAGGTTGTCAGTAGTATAATAAATGTTCTAGAGTATAAATTTATTGATGATCTTTGAATTTGTGGCTTATGGATCAAATTCTAAACTAGATCTGAAAATATATGTTGATTTATTGAGGTTTAGATGATTATTTGGGATGAGAAATGAATTATTATGGTTATAGGATTATGATTCTAAGCTAGAGACTTAATTTTTAATTTTTGGGTATTTTAGGTACGAATTTATAAATAAAAAGAAAATTTTGATAATAGAAATTAGTTTAGAAGTTGATTTTTAGATTATTAATGTTTATTGATAATTAAAAGAGGAGTTAAAAATTTTACTTAATAGTATTAACTATAGATTTGTATTAAGATTGAGATTAGGAATTATGTTATATTTTTAATTCTATTATTAGAATTATTTTATTAGTTTCAAAAATTGAAACTAATATTTATAAATAATATGTTATTTGTAGATTGTATTACTGGTGAAGATTGTGGTGAGAGAGAAATTTTAAGGAATAATTTATTGAAAAAGCCACAAGGTAACCATGCTTTTAATTTGTGATTAGTGTTACTTCATGTTAATTGGGTGATTATTGAGAAAATTATGAATTTTGTAATATTGTATATTGTGCAATATTATTATGAATTTGTTTGATTATTGTGGGAGGTGTTGGGAGACTTGCTATTGTTGTTGTATTTATGTGCCACGTGGTACGCCCCTATTGGAGCTCAATAGGTGGCTTGTAAGGGCTCGGGCTAATCTACCTTTGGCCGGGTAATTTAGCACCGAGTGAGGGCTACGGCTCGAGGTTAATGGAGGGATATAAGGATGGTTGTTTGTGTGTATTGTAATATTTCTTATATTTGTTGGAATTATATTATTTTTAATTCTCACTTAGTAAGCACACACTTAACTGTTTGTATACACTATCATAAATTGGCTTTGGTTACTGGGACTTTTGAGTCTCATTATGTGGTTAACAATTTTCAGGAGAAGAGCCACGAGTGACACGTGGAGGAGTCCCAGAGGCTTAGTGGTATAGATCCACTGTCTCTTTTGGGTATTTAATTTATGATTTATAATGTGTTATATTGCCAATATTAGGGCTTTTTTTTTTTATTGTCAATTATATGAATATATAAATGTAATCATGCCTTTCAAACTATTTCTATTTTTGGTACAATTTGGATGACTGTAATTTTAATATTTGGTTTACTTTGGATTGGTTAAAATGGCATGATTATAAGGCCAAATAACTGGCTTGTGTTGAAAATTGACTAAATTGCTTATTTTACTTGTTGGGAGTATAAGGATGGACAAATGTGATTTAGTTTACTTGTTGGGAGTATAAGGATGGACAAATGTGATTTAGCCTAATGGCATGTGGGAGGTAAAAATTTATCTGAAATGTTATAGTGTGTGAGTTGAAGCCAATTATAAAATATTTTATATCGAAATTATTGATATAAAAATGTGTTGGGTGGCTGTAACCCAACTATGGTTGAGTTAAATTATTAAAAAAAAAAATTTTGGTGTGTTACATCCAGCTCTAGCCCGATGTATGGCACAGTGAGAGAATTCATCACCACACTCACACACTTTACTTTGCAATGCCATTTTCCCACTCTATCTATTCATATAATACCTTAAATAGTCAAGATAACATTCCACCATCCAAAAATCCTAATATCATATTAGATTACTAATTTATCCCTTAATTAGTATTAATACAAGAATCAAGAATTTAGGATTTACACAAAACATGCTCAATTTAAAACAATTTCATACAGTAGCTATAATATTCTCAAATAGTTATAATAGATAGTCAAATAGAGTAAGTCATTCAATTACCTCAACCTTTTGTCATAAGAAAGGTTACCTGTGGATTTTCAACCATTAACACCTCTCTACACGCTTCTTCTCTCAACTTACAAGCATAACATGACAATCAACACACAATTGATATTATTAGTCAATTAACCAAATTGACTAAAAATACTTAATTATCACTTAAAATTACATCTAACTATTCATTCACTTCTACTTAGTCAGCTTAGGTCCATCACCATTCATTCACCACTTTCTATCACTCCTACCAGTCTTAATTCACTTCTTTCACCATTTTACTAGTGTTTCTCTTTGGTTCAAGGCAAATATATGCTTAGAGCCTCAAAGCTTTATCGTTTAACTCCAAAAAAGTCACAACACCCTAATTAGAATCCCAAGAATCTTTTCATTATAAAAGGGTAAGAAACAAATCCCTTAAAAAATTTATTTCTAGATAACTTATCCTAAGAGAAATTATAGTAGAATTGAAGCTAAAGGTAGTATAAGACTTACCCGATAAGCTATCAGTCAGAAACTTCTTCCTCAGCTTCAAAAATTCATGCCTAAGCTGACATCTGCTCTCTTCTTTCTTCTCTACTCAATTTTCCTTCCTTTCCCGTCTATTTTCATGAGTCTCATATGAACTTATAAACTCATTTTCTATGTTGTGCGCTGTAGGGTAGGCAACTTGTGCTACTATACATGGCACAATGAGAAAAATCCTCACCGCGTGCACATGCTTTGTTCTAAGACGTGATTCTTCCACTTGTATCTATTCATTAAAAACTCTGATGAGTCAAAATATTAAGTTGTCATCCAAAATCCTAATCACTCACTAATTACTAATTCGCCCTTAATTAGCAACTAGTTTCAGGATTAAGAAATCAGGATGTTACATTGTTCGTGTGTCTTGTACTTATGTTTGATTTCATAGCTTCGAGTCATGCTTAGTTAGTATTATCTTTATGGAGTGTGTGCCCACATTTATTTTATAACCTATACTAGGTTTGGCTACTTGCCTCATAGACTATATGTCTATGTTTGTTTTCATGAAATAAGCCACGTTTGGTTATTTACTTTCATGAATTATGTGTCGTGTTTGTTACTTATTCTACAAAGTCCTCAGAATACTGGCTTTTAATTAATTTTTTAATATACACTTCATTACTTTAATTAATAAATTTTACTATTTCTATTTTTTTGCTTAATCTATTTGATTTCACAGGATCAAGTATTAAGACTATTTTGTTATTGTAAATTTAATGGTTTAGTATTTTAAAGCTATAAAAAATCAATGAATTTTGAAGTTCAATTATTATATTACATTCATTGTTCTCTCTTTAATTTGTATATAATTGCTGTGTAACACCCTAAAATTTTTAAAAAATAATTTTCATAAATTATTAATTTAATAAATTATTTTTACATCATCGAACCCTTACCATGATAGAAAAATTTCTACCGTGATAAAAAATAACTAAACCTTTTTTCAAAACTCTACTATGGTAAAAAATAGTTTATCATATAAATAAAATATTTACAAATAGCCTACCATAATAGAAAGAATTTAAAATAATGAATAAGCTCTACCATAATAATTAAAAATAAAATTTACCTAATTAAAAATAATGTAAAACAATTCATATCAAAGAAAATAATAATTTTTAAATCAGCATTTGGTATAAAATCCTATCTTAAGGTGGAAGAATCCCCAAAAATTCCTAAATATAATTTTTTATGTTGTTATGTGAACCCAAAAGCAATTAGAACCATGAGGGACAATAGGATCCTCATGGCATGATATTCAAATTAGGTCAAGAATCAAGAGGGATAGACATGATCCTCTATGTCATATAAATGCAGCTAATAAAAAGGATTAAAGTCTATATGCTCCACAAAATAAGATATGTCCTAAGTTGGCACTAGATACATCACATGATCCAAAATAAGAGGCAATGTAAAGATGGTGTCTCATACCCCAAAGTCACATCTCTAGTGCTTTCTCAGCCAAACTCGCTCCTGTAAAAATATTACCACAAAGAATAAGACTTAAAAGTCCTAGTAACCAAAAATTGATATGTAATGATGCATATGGATGTAACTAATCATACGATTGCTAAGTGGGCACACAAAAATATTTATCCGAACAATATTTCCCAACAAACCAAACAAGTATTTAATTACATGACTATACCTTATATCCTCCTTTCGTCATGCCTGATGCTAAATCACTCGGCCAAAGTGAATTGGACCAAGCTATACACCACTCATTGGGTCCAATGAGGGCTTGCCACGTGGTAATAATTAACTAGATAGAAATTACTAATAATACCATATATTAAAATACCTTGACAAGTCATGCATCATTAAATATCCAAACAAGAATATAACCAAATAATATATCTTAATCATGATAAACAAAATAAATTTTTAACCCACTTGGCAATGATTCCAAACAAGTATATAACAGTATTTATTTTTAATAGTTCATAATTCAAAATTTTTTCAAACAACGAAACAACAATAACCAATCACATACACACCTATCACAACATATTAAAATGTTACCTTGTATCTTAAACAATAAGTTTCCCTTCACAACTCCTCTTTCACCACTATCTTTAGCAATATAATCTACATAATTATTCCATAATACTATATATTATTTTTACATTGAAATTAATAAATAACTCTAATTTAAAGAGTTAGAAAGTCTTAGGTCTAAGATCTATATTAACACGAAGTTAAGGTTTATGCCTTATTTAACTTTTTAAATTTTTTTTTTAAATTTTCATACCCTAATAAACTATATTCAAGCCTCAAATCACTTCTAGTATCACAATTTCATCATTTATATTCTAAAAAATTTTGTCTAAAAATAAATTAAAAATTTTAGAATTACCCTAAAGCCTCAAATCACCATTCTATAAGCTTTAAAAAATAGCTATTCATACTAAATAAATATTTAATAATTAGAGGTTCATCTCTACATCTCAAATTCAACATAAATTCAACCATATAGATCTAGAGTCTAACTTAAAAATTCTTAAACATGAGTTTCACCTCAAGGAAATATTCTATAATATTTATTATATCTTTAAAAATTTTAAACTTTAATTTTAATCCTTTATATCATCAGATTAACTATCCTATAGAAAAATTCTAATCAGAATATTTTCTCTACACTACAAAATATCATATTATTAGAATATAATATTATTTAGGAAATAACTATGAAATTAATTTTGTAATTAAATAATTTTTTAAATAATAACTAAACAGGAAAGTTGGAGCATACCTAATAAACAAGAAAATAACACCCTTGAATAAGGCAATGTGAGAGGGGAGAGAGATGGAAAAAAAATAATAAAAAATAGAAATATGGGTCTCACAATTATATTAAAAAAATAATATATAGGTTTGAATTTAATTATTCAAACTCTTGGGCCATAAATTACAATTTCCTCCACATTGCATCTCAACCCTTATTATCTCTTGATGCGTACTTCCTCGTTTTATACAGGAGGAGACATCTTCTCTTCCCATATCTAATCGATGTTGAGGTGGGAGCTAAAAAAAAAACCTTCCATCTCTTTTTTTTCTATTCCTTCCACCTCCTTTTTTTTGTTACTTACACACACACAAAATTATTTATATATTCTAAATCTTAAAATTATATCTTAACTAAATATTTCTTATGTGATTTTCAATCTAAATTTTAATTTACTATTAAATGCCTAACTATTATTATTTTCAAATAACCTCAAATAATATAAATTCCTATTATTATCATTTTTTATCCTCAATAAAACCTAAATTTCACAATTTCTTTATTATTTAAAAATTGGTATGTTACAACTTGCATTTATTCATCTTGATTCTTTTAATCTTATTATTGGAATGTTATTTAGTGAAAAAAAAAATTTAGTCTCAGATAATGTAGCCAGCCTTATATCTCTAGATGATCATTGAGGGGTTTTTTTTTTCAAGTTGATGTTGAAATTATAGTGGTTAATCTCCATTCGTTGTAAAACTTGAATTTCATATATTATTTTATAAATTATATTCTAAATACGTAGTTAGAATCTTCATTTGACTACCTATATTGTTGGTCTATTGATAAGAACTGAACTTCCTATTATTATATTGTGTAAAAATCTATTTGTAAAATTTTTAGCAAGTTCTATTTTCAAAGTAGGTGTTGCCAGAAGTTTACAAGAATTTATGACTTTTGTTATCATAAAAAGTCTATATTATATAATCTTGCTCTACATGATAGA